TTTCATCGCAATATTGCCCTTTTTTGTGTTCAGACGTACGTTTTTTTCCGTTCGCTTTCACTCTTAAATTGAGGTCACCTCGCATAGAATAGCAAATCAAACATATTACGAGAACAAGGCTCTTGTTACCCAAGGCGCACATTACTATAAAAAGTAATATAAATAGAATTATGACACTTTATAATATACTAGTTCCCATGTGATCAGTGATGGATGTGTATTCGGCCTGTCCTGTAGGCCTCTCTGATTTTTTCTTATATATATAGAGAGAGAAGAGATCATATGAGAAAATGTGATAGTGAAAGAAATAAGAATGATTGTATATCATTAGATTCAACTTATCAATGGTAATAATGAAGTCAAAGTTAGTAATTGTAGTTAAACTCATTAAGGGTAATTTAGTTATTTGACACTCATTAAGGGTAATTTAGTCTTTACAAATAATTACATATAACCACCCAAGCAATCACACTTCATCTCTCTCTTTAAAACTAAAACACTCATGTACAGGTACAACCATTGTTTCTCTCACACACATAACACACACAACACACACACACACACACACTCATCTAACAGTCACACACACACACCTGGATCCGGCCACAAAATCCAAGACCGACCACCGCGCACCGCCGTCTGCCACGGCACCAGCAACACCGCCGCTGCTGTCCGTCATCCCCCCGAAGACACCTGCCATCGGCAACGGACCAAGCTCCACGGCGGAATCTGCTCACACTTCCGGCCAAAACACCACCACCAGCCCGCCGCGCCGCCGTCTACCACTGAGATGGCAACCCTCAAAAACACCGCCGTTGCCGCCCGTCATGGCCACTAGAGACATCCACAGTTAGGCATCGCCCCAAGCTTCACGCCGACCTCCTCTAGCAACCACCAAATCGCTGCCGGCAAAGCCAGACGATTCCATCGCCGCCAACACCAGCGAAGCTTTTGACACAGCCCGCCCCCGTCGCCGGTCACAACATGCTCCGTCGAGATGTTGAGTTTCGAGTCCTCACTGCCACGTCCGGCAAGAGGCTGCTCTCCGGCGTAGATCTCCGACGACGGGTGACCATAGGGACAACGACCTTAACTTCCCATTGATCTCAGACGGAGGTGGATTAGAGGTTGCTGTGATTTAGACTTGTGGATTGGCTTTTGAAAATTTGATATGTTTTAGGGGTTTATTTGTAATTTTTCTAAGTTTAGTTTATTATAATTTAATACATGAGGTAAATGTGTAATATGGTAAAAGTTTAATTAATGCACTTAATACTACATAAAGTACACATTATTACGTGACAATCAGTTTAATTTGTCGGTTAAAAAAAATACAAATTTAACTTAAATAAATTATATTATTTATTGTAAAATTATTTCTAGTTTTTAATATTGTTTTAATTAATATTTTATTTTTATCTTTTGATTAAAAATCATATGTAACACCCCGCCTTATCGTAAAATTAGAGTGCGAAAATTTCGCAAAGTTATTTAAAAATAAAATCTTTTACTTTGCGAAAACTGATTCGGGGTGCTACCTTAAAAACGTGACTTATTTTGGAAAAACCGTTATCTAAATTTTTAATAAAATCATACTGATACTGAAAGCATAATGTTTTCCAAAAGTCCGATCAAAACATAAGTTCGTCAAAAGTCATCATCAGCGGAAACGTAAATCATCATAATATGTACACAGTCAAAATATAAAAGTCCTGAAGCCTTCGTCATCCCACGCTCCCTGCCCGACATCCTGACCTGAAAAAAACATGATAACAATGGGAAGTGAGCACTATGGCACTGTGCTCCGTGGAAACTCATACTAATGTAAACATTGAAAATAATAACAACATCATGATATCAGTATATACATAACCTCAACATGAAACCAGTAATAACATGAACATGAATCTGATATCGTCACGCAACGTGACCCTGACCGTTACCTCATCTGCCGGCAAAAACTAATGCCGGACACCATGTGCACACTCTAGTGAGCAGACAAGGGCCACTAGAACCCAGAATGGACCGGCGACCATTCCGAGCGGATACCTCACATGAAATACATACCTCAAACATGGTACCGTAATTATAATCAATGTAGTACTTAGTCTG